CAATGCCACGGAAGCCGATGACAAACGGCGTCACGAAGTCAAGTAGCGGAGGGACTGATTTGCACCCACCGTGGGGTTGGAGGGCTTATTTGCCACTTTTTCAGTTCAGGGGCTTGTCACTTGCTGTTGAAAAAGTTTAGGTGCTTAAGTAGGGTTTTTGCCTTTTTCTTTTTTTTTTGTAAGCGGTCCGACCCATTTTCTTCGTTTGTCTCGTCAAATAATCTAATAAAAGGCCAGTGAGCTCAAATTTCAGACTTCAGGAACCGAGAAAAAGTCCAAAAGCTATGCTATGCTTTGACTTTGTCTTTCATGAACGAAGTGTAGTTTAGTTTAGTGTTTTTTTTTTTCAAGACAGGTACAATTTAAAATAAGAGACGATAAATTATAATATTATTATATTATAATTTAACATTTAATGCAACTATCAAATAGTTCATGAAGTTTAATGCGAGTTCAGTTTTCTTCCTCTTTTAGTTTTTGAAATTCTTATGCTATTACAAGCCACAACAATTTAATTATTGTCTCTTGATGCAATATAAGCTTTGGTTAAGTAACTTTCTGTTAACCTTCTATTAGATTTGAGAATTGTATTAGGGACTAACTTTCTGCTCCGCTGATTTTTATTCTCTGTTTTCTGTCCATATTTCCTTTGAGCAAAATCTTTGTAGTCTTAAGCTTCCTCCGTTTCCAGAGTACGAAAGACCAAATATCCGGTAACTCATATATCTTCAGTATCATTGCCCTCTTTTCCATTGTATCACGGAAATGATGATTTCTCTTCTTCAGAAATTCAAACCTTTTCTTCTGTTTTTGATCACAATCTTTGCGCTGAATTTCGGATTCATCACTTGCGAATCACCCTCGATTTCGCCCAAATGTTTAGATAAATTTAATACCTCAACAAACTATCAATCTGACGTTCAAGCCCTGATGGAAGTTTTGTCCTCCAAATCTTCCCAATATACCTTCTACAATGATTCTTTTAGAGGAGTCTATGGCCTGTTTCTCTGCAGAGGTGATGTTGATAGTAGCACTTGCCAAAGTTGCATCAATGATGCCACCATAGATCTGCCAAAAACTTGCTCTTCTTATCGAGGTGGAGTCATCTGGTATGAAAAATGCCTGTTACGCTACTCGAATACCGATTTTTTCGGTGAAATAACATTTGACCCAGACTCCTATATCTATATGAGGAATCTAGAACACAATACTTCACCTGAAGACGACTTGGCGGTACTTAATTTGCTAAAGGAAGCGATTGAGCGAGCTGCTCAGAACTCATCGAAGCTTTATGGGACCCAGGAAGGAGTTGTGCCTAGTAATGTGTCTCGGAATATATATGTCCTGGTGCAGTGCACAAGAGATCTCAATCGAAGTTCGTGTTACTCTTGTTTGACGGAAATAACTGATCAACTCCCGAGTTGTTGCCTGGGGTGGGCAGGGTGGCGCTTCTTAACCCCAAGTTGCCTTGCAAGATTTGACGAATACGTTTTCTATTCAGGAGCACCACAACCTGCTCTTGCAGCACCTCCCACGCCCAATAGAGGTTAGTACTAAATTAGGACAAATTTTGAATGACCAAATTAATTTTCCAAACTAAACTCTTCTAAAAGAAAATTTGTGATTGTTTATTGTAATATATGTACTAGCAGGGAATGGGGAAAGAACGACAAAGAAGGTTGTGATCGTCTCTGTATCATCATTAGCAGCTGCCCTTGCATTCACTCTTGCTGGCTTCTTATGTTTTTCATTCTGCAGGAAAGGACTGAAAGGTAGATGCAAATAGCCTTTTCTTCCTTCTTTTTTTTTCATTTTTTTTAATTCCCACTTTTTCATTTTTTCCATGGGTGAAATTTGAACATACACACACACACACAAAAAGGGGCTTTTGCAAATTAGATCTATAGTGTTGCTGATTTTTCACACAGGGGGAGGAGCAAGTGGAGAGATTCTGTCAAGAAATTCTCTAGGCCCAAATCAAAGGCACGTTGGCGAGACAGGTATAAATGAAGCTGAAGAAGAACACAGTGAGGCGATGCATTTTCAATTAGATAAGAAACGAATGAATTTTTAATTTTTTATAAAATTTACTAACAAACAAAGAAGTTAAGTTTAAATAAAATATTATAAATTATGATGTAATTGAATTAAACTATATGGGATTTCAATAGTAATTTTATAATTGTATTAAATATTAGATGTTGTCTATAAAAATTATAGTTAAAAAGTTTCAAAATGAAGCTTCTAGTTTTATATATAAAATTACTGTAAATCTATTATGATTTTTTACAACTTTTGAAAAAAATAATCCAAAAAAAATTAACAAATACATATATATATATATATATTTAAAAACATCATATGGCTATGAGAAAAGGCTTCTAACTGCAATCTTAAATGTACCCAAAGTAATTGTTAATGCAACATTTACTCCATATTTATTCAGTAAGGATCGAGAACACAGAAGATATATTGTTGTTTGATAAAGGGAAAACCAGCACAAGCAAGGTTGAACTCCGAGAGGTGCCATTATTCAAATTTGTGGAATTGGCAACCTCAACAAACAACTTTAATACGACAAATTTGCTAGGACAGGGAGGTTTTGGTCCTGTATACAGGGTAAATGTTAGTTTCCAACTGCATAGTTTTGATATATAGTATGTCAAGTGAAATGAAATCTTTACTGACCTATTTTTTCTTTTCTAGGGAACATTGCAAAATGGGCAGGGAATAGCGGTAAAGAGACTGTCAAGGGCATCAGGGCAAGGGGCAGACGAATTTAAGAACGAAGTGTTGGTCATCTCCAGTCTCCAACATCGAAATCTTGTAAAACTCCTAGGATGTTGCGTTGAGGGAGAAGAGAAGATTTTAGTCTACGAGTACATGCCAAACAAGAGCCTAGACACATTTTTGTTTGGTTAGAGCATGACTCATTCTCCTTTTCCTTTTTGATTATACAATGCAAATAAGGTTATGTAAAAAAAAAAAATCGCAATTAGGTGCCAAAGTAGAACAGTATTAAGATTATTTTCAATGTCTCTAACATTCATTTCTGATGATAATGACCCTTACTCTTTTTCTTCTATTTTTAACGTTTCCATCTTCCATATAGATTTGCTCAAGAAAGAACTCCTAGATTGGAGGAAACGTTTCAACATTATTGAAGGAATAAGTCAAGGTCTCCTTTATTTACACCGACATTCTAGATTGCGAATTATTCATAGAGATCTAAAGGCAAGTAACATACTGTTAGATGAAAAGTTACAACCAAAAATTTCAGATTTTGGGTTGGCGAGAATTTTTGGAGATAGTGAAGATCAAGCCAATACCAAAAGGGTTGTTGGAACATAGTAAGTAGACATTTCTCACACCAAAATACTTCTCAAACCAATAACATCACCATAAATGCTTGAACAGTAATGGTTTTCGTTTGATGTTTAATGTAGCGGCTATATGCCTCCTGAATATGCGATGGAAGGACTATTTTCAGAGAAATCTGACATATATAGCTATGGTGTTTTACTGTTAGAGATTGTAAGTGGGAGAAGAAACAACGGTTTTGACAATGATGAACATTTAAGCCTTGTGGGATATGTAAGTTAAGCTCTTTCCTTCATCAGCCATATGTTTAATTGGCCTTTCTTTCCCGCCCATTTGGAAGCTAACCTTTGCCCTTTCCAGGCTTGGAAATTGTGGAATGAAGGCAACATTTTGCCTTTGGTTGATAACATGGTCGCTGATCCATCCTATGATGAAGAGGTTCTAAGGTGCATACATGTGGGATTGCTGTGCGTACAAGAATTTGCGAAAGATAGACCTAACATGTCCACAGTCATTTCAATGGTTAACAGTGAAATTGTGGATCTTCCTCGTCCAAAACAACCTGCTTTCATTCTAAAACAGAATCATGCATCAGATGCAGAGTCCTCTGCACAGCATGATCAACAGAGATGCTCTCTGAACCATGTGACTCTATCAACGGTCCAAGGACGATAAGAAGAAAGTTCTTCATGTTAGAATATCAATATTTATTTTAAAATATTATATTTATATCATAATTAATTATATATATTTAAGTTAATTAGTTTATATTTAGAAATATTTTTAGGTATAAAATTATACAATAGAGCTTGTAATTCATTATATATATTGTATAGTTTTATATATAAAAATATTCTATTATATAAATCTATAACCCTTGTATATACAATGAAAAATAAAAAGGCAATACCCCTTTCATCAAATTATTCTTCGTCTTTTCTGTTTCCAACATTCTTCTTCTTTTCTGTTTCCAACACTTCATATGATTAGTTCTTGCTGCAAAGAAATTTATCTTTGGTTGTAGTCCATAATTTGTAATTTTTAACCAAAATGTTATGCTTTTCGGGGAAAAAAAAAAACCTTAAAATGTTAAACTTCAAAACCTGTTTTATTGCATCGAATTCATTAGCTTGACCATTTTCAACTTCTAACTCTATGAATTTTACGAAAACTTTTAAATATTTTAGACCTGGACTCTCACAAACCAAGTGTCAAGGTAAAATTGAAATTGAAATTAGAGATCCAGACTGCGTCGGGCTAAACTAAAAATAAAATAGCATTTGATTGAAAATCAGAAACTCAAATTGAGTGGCAGATCTGAATGGTACAAAACAAATTGAAAGTGAAATTAGCAAATTGACAGAAGAAATTACCGTAGGTCGCTGAAAACGGAGAGGCCTCCAGAGCGTTTGGCTGAAAGTGGCAACCTTTTCTACTAAATGTTCTGAGCTGAAGGTTGAAGACGATGGAGAGATATCTCCAAGAACAGAGGGAGTGAAGGACGAAGGTGGCGACGAGAGGACGATGATCTGAGGTTCGAAAGAGAGAAATAGAAGAAAGGAGCGTTATGATCTGAGGTTCGACAGAGAGAAATCACAAAACTGAGTGAGGTGATCTGAGCTTCGATCGAGGAGGGTGATCTACCCTTTTTTGCCAATGCGCTTCTTCAAACGGCATGTTTCTAAATATAGAGAGTATAGAGCCGGTCAACTTGGGACAACCTCATCTGGCCATTCCTTAATAGATTTATTTTTAATTTTTAATTTTTAAATATAATATTATTTTATTCT